TAATTATTTGCCGTACCCACATACTAAACCTTTGCAATTAAGGCGCTAGGTCACTCAAATCTCTCGCAATGCATACACTCAGAGAGCCAAATCCCTCACATCCCTGGGCCCTGCAGTTTCGTCGTGACTTAGATAATATATATTTTTATTTATCTTGCCAAAATGGTCAATTTTTCTCAAATTACACTTGACCAGACCTTTATCCATTCACTTAACCAATCTGTGTCCCTTTGTATCCTCCTTAGGTCCTCTTCACAACTTACATTCCTACCTATCTTTGTGATAAGCAATTGTAGCAACTATATCTTTAGTCCCTTCAAGTCATTTATACAAATTGAAAAAATGTTGGGGCCCCAGGAAAAGATGCATTAATGATTACTCAGAGATAGCAAGAACTGCAGATGCTGGAGTCAGAGACAACACAGTATGGAGCTGGAGGTACACAGCAAGTCAGGCAGCATCAGAAGAGTAGGAAAGTCAACACTACAGGTCAGGACCCTTCTTCAGAACTGGGGAGGGGGAAGAGAGCTGGGAAATAAATAGAGGGAGGAGGGGTGGAGCTGGGGAAAGGTAGGTGGGATGGTGATGGATGGATGCAGGTAGGGAGTGGTTGGGATTGGTCAGTGGGATGGGTGGGGCGGGTAGGTGGGAGAGAAGATGGACAGGTTGTGTCAGGTCAAGGAGATGGTTGGGAGGATGGGTCAGGCTGTTGAAAGGTAGGTGGTGTGGTGATGCAGGTAGGGAGTAGTGGGGATTGGTCTTTTGACTTTACAACTCCTCTGATGCTGCCTGACCTGCTGTGTTCCTCCAGTTCCACATTCATTAATAATTACTATTAGCTAGCCATGTAGATATGTTACCCCCTACACGATGAGCTTTCACTTTCCACAATAACCTTTGGCGTGACATTTTCCAAAAGGCTTACTAGAAATCTGTGTAATCTGGTTCTCCTTTATTCACAGCATGTTCATTCTTCAAAGAATTCCAATAAATTGGTTAAAACCAATATTTCACAAAACTATATTGACTTTGCCTGATTGCCTTGAAAGTTTTATGTGATCTTCTATAAAGTATTTAATAATTTATTGCTTTAAGTTATTTTTTTCTAGCGGTTTGGCATAAATATCCCTTTAAGAAGACATATATTTAAATTAGAAGAAATTTAGAGAAGGTTCACTGAACTAATTCTCGGGTTGAAGGGATTATTTTATGAGGTCAGGCTGATCACGTTGGGTTTTTATAATTGGAGTTTTGAATAAGAAGTGAAACGTATGCAGTTCTGAGGGAACTTTCACAGAGTGGATGCTGGAAGGATGGTTCTCCTTGTGGGAGAAGGTTAGAACTAACAGACCCATTTTAAAATTCAGGGCTTCCTGTTAAAGAGAATTTTCTTATTTTAGGAGATGTTTGTTCTCTTCCTTAGAAAGCATTGGAGACAAGGAATTGAACATATTGAAAGCTGAATTACATAGGTTTTTGATCATGTCATACAGTGCTTGGCAGGCATCTAAGAAAGTGGAGTTGAGACCACAATCAGATCAACCATGTTCTTACTGAATGAGTTACTCCAGCTCCTAATTCTTGTGTTCTTGTGTACTTCTACATTGAATACATCAGTTTTCAAAGTCAGACCGTGCCCCATAGGCATTTATGAAGTTATCTTTCTTGAAAATTTCATACAAGAACTTTAACAGAAGATCTATACTTTCAGAATGCAATTCATGGACATCCAACTCACAAAAGATTTTATTTCTGATTTTATATTCCTGTAGGAAGAAAAATTAACAAAGGATAGACCTTGTTTCCTCTTTAGTAAGGATCTAATCTTTACCCACATAGCCCCTTTGTTCTTTTAGCTTTCTGGTTCAGAATCCAAAAATGTTGTCAGATAATCACACTCTGAAATTTACAGTTTCTTTCTTCTATTTCTCACAATGGCTATTGGGATTGCAGTCTTCTTTTTCATGTTTTTTCATCTTATTTCAAAATTTCATCTTCAGGCAACCATTCTCTGCTACCTTATTCTGTTCCATAAAGTCAGTTGATGAAGAATAATATTGGAACCGAACTCTATTCAGTCAATGTTTATTTACAAAGTGAAACGTTATGAGCAGACACTTTCTGTCTCAACAATTCCACAATTACAGTAAATGCCTCTTTATCTGTTTAAAGGAAACCTCAACTAATGCTGCTTACCTCATTTAATTAAACACAATTGATATACTTACTAGTAAAAACAAAAACAGGTTCAGATAACAGAAATATGATAGTGCCAGCCTTGACAATCGCACCTCTTGCGTTAGAAGGTTGTGAGACCCCCTTCAGAGTCCTATACTAGAGACTTGAGTATAAAATCTAGGCTGATACAGCAGTGTCATTATGCGGTCTTTTGGATGAGCTGGTAAACCAGGGCTCTGGTCTGTTTTAACAAGGTGTAGAGCTGGATGAACACAGCAGGCCAAGCAGCATCAGAGGAGCAGGAAAGCTGACATTTCGGGTCGAGACTCTCCTTCAGAAATGGGGGAGGGGAAGGGGCTTCTGAAATAAATAGGGAGAGAGGGGGAGGCGGATAGAAGATCGGCAGTTCCTACTATCTCTGGTCTGTTTAGTCAGCTGACATGAAAGTCCCATACCATTATAGGAAAGAGCAGTGGAGGTCTTGCTGATATTATTGCCACTTTAATCCCATAACTAGAAAATAATATCTGATTATTATCATACTTATTTTTGGCATGTTACTATGTACAAATTAGTTTCTATAGTTTCTATATTTGTAATTGTGATTATACTTCAAAAAATATTTCATTAGTTATCAAGCATATTGGAACATTATATTGAAAAGTACAATCTAAATAAAAATGCTGCATTGGTATATGGTAATACAGGACAAGTCAGATCTCAGAATGAAACCTGACTTCATGGATCATAGGTTTTTTTTGCAGTTTGATTACCATCATGGTCAGTTATTGAACATATTCTCATAAGTCTGCCAATGTTCATTTAACAAAGAACCCAAGTTTATTACACAATCAACCTTTTTCCTACCAAAATTCTTTAGAGATACTCAAACCTGGTGAAGTATCACTGTATCTTAATTATTAATTTTTTTATTTAACTGATGCCATTGCAAGCATATCCTTTTGGCAAATTTCTACATGTTCACAGGATATGATTATTTTCATTACTGACTTTCTCTGAAAAACAGTCACCAGTTACTTTGCCAACTTTTCCTAACCAAACTTTAAGAAAAAACTCTATCCATCTTCTATCCGCCTCCCCCTCTCTCCCTATTTATTTCAGAACCCCCTTCCCCTCCCCCATTTCTGATGAAGGGACTAGGCCCAAAACGTCAGCCTTCCTGCTCCTATGATGCTGCTTGGCCTGCTGTGTTCATCCACCTCTACACCTTGTTATCTCTTTAAGAAAAGCGCTATCTATTTTTAACTGCTAAAATAAAATATAAGACTTCACTCTGACTTTGATAGCTTGGACTATGTCATGACCATGTATTATAAATCTGGATCATCTACTGACATAGCAAACTTTAGTTATAACATTTTTTAAAGGACATGCAGCCAGAAGTTGACTATTGATGTAAATTCATTGCCTTTCTGGAGAGAGACTTAGTGGAATGTTATACCTGACAAGGTGTCAAGGACACGTCAAGAGGAATAGACTTAAAAGGGGAGAAAATACACTACCGTCTAAATTGTAATCTAGGTGCAGCTCAGACTGTGATCATGATGTTAAAACAGAAAGCAGTCTGTGCGAGCAATATAGTTTCATTTTCCAGTTTGAAGAATATACAGGGACAGGGGTTAAAAGTGGATATGTTAGTGGCCTTATGTCCTAGTGTGTGGAGGACCATACTGTGAAGGTCACAGTTTTGAGAACAGCTGTACGCGGGTAAAGAAAGAGAAA